TTCAACATAAATCGCTTTTCGAATAAGCCATATACCTGACTGTACAAGGCGAAGTAATCATAGACGAAATTTTTGATCGTCCATACGGCATATCCGGAAACAAAACACTCAGGTGCTTGCATTACTACCTAAACCAGTTTCAGTACTTTGAATGAAAATTAAAATATTTCAGAAAAACTTTCATCGTGTAATATTTCTTAATTTGGTTCAACATCGTGGCCGGCAATTAATTTAGTTCAACATCATGGGCATCAAGACCGGTAATTAAATGCAATGTTGTGACAAAGTAGCGTGTCCAGAATTATCAATTTGTAAATTTGTTTTGCATACAAAAGGCATGTGCTACTGGTAGAAAGTTTAGTGAATAAATAGCATAATATTTACAAAATACAGAAGTGATAACATGCAGAAAAGACGTGTACACAAAGAAAAATACAATTTAAATGAGTTGAGGTGTACTCAATTTAGGATGAACCGAAACATCTTAGTCTCTGCTAAACTATTATTTCTTAGGACGCTTTATGAATCTGAATGGTTATATTTTCAGTATCTTTCATTATCAGCTGACAGTAACTCCTTAAATAGAGTTTATAATTTTGCTTAAAACTGATGAATAATTTGACTTATAATATCAAATAAATATTTTTAACAGCACATTCCAAGCAACGCATTAGTAATAATGAGCATGTAAGGAACAGATATTACCAGGATTTGCGCGGACTGCACACAATTATTTTAATAACCGTGTATCTGAATTTTGGTTCATCTCACCACAAATTTGGAACTGCACGGCGTTTATTCTTGCATGATATCCCCCCCCCCCCTAATCAAATACGTAAATACCTGGCTTCTGCAGGGAACACTCCTCCCTCCGCCGATCCCTACGCGACGGAGCCATACCGCCCAGTTGTCAGTCACAGTTATTTTTTCGAACAAGGCAAAACCCCGGGGAGAATCGCTTTTTTTTCAGAGAACAAAACAAAGCTACTGAAATTACCTCGATAAATGCAGAATCTGGTTCAAGTTCGAATGGATGCGATAGTGGT